CATCGTAGACGGTGCTTAATATAATTGCGCAGATGATTGCAWTTATATTTAATATTTTCATGAAACGTAATATTTCTATAATAATATAGCGAACATTCTTTTTAGGAATTAATTTCATCATTATTATTATTTTATTTAACGGAATTTATTCTTTGGGGTAACAAGATACGTTTTCGAGATAATAATATTGGATCGGAAGTCAAAATATTGTATTATTAGAAACCAGTGGTTTTTATTGAACTGCGACAAATTCCAGTCAGCTCGTTAACGAATTTAATGGACAATATTATCATTTAAAAACCTTTAATATTCAACTCGGATAAATAATTTATTAACTATTATCCAATGTTTAGTTTCCAATATCACCTCGATAAGTGGTATACTTGTACCTACGCTTAACATACAGAAAATAATAATTGGAAGATGGCATTAAATTTAATGCGTTCAATCGAACAAGCACCAGCTATTTGAATAATATACATTTCATAACGATATCCGAACGCGTAAAAAATAAAGGTAATGGTAGCTCCGAATACTGAAGTCGAATCGGTTTGATGTAATTTTGCTATTTTGCTCTTTTTAACTCTTTTCAACCCCAATACACTGTGCAAAAAGAYGACAACATTTCAGCYTTATTTAATATGCACCCTTCGTACAAATTTGTTTATAAATTAAATATAAAAATCTGGTAATGCAGTAATGGTATTTATTTTAGTCTTCGTGATTACGTTTTATTTTATCTCCGTTATTATTTTTATTAAGTATAATCATTTTTCCTTTTTTTTTTCATTTTAATTACCCTTTCTTTTATGAGTGCTGATATTGACTTGATGATTTTCCGACAGCTATTGATTTCTTGACGTTTTTTTTTTTTTAACAATTTAAAACATTTTCATGCTTAACATTTACTTCAGCTTATCGTACTTTTGAATTATTTTACAACCATTTCCCAATATTATTTATTTGATAATATTTATTATATTATCAAATATCAGATAAAAAATGACTGAAATAAGCCGACATTGTATTTTTTAATTATATCTCAACATTTTTAAAAACTATAGGTAAACTAAAAAAAAAAAAGAAGAAAGGTTATATTTTGTMGGCTAAAGATGTCCGCCTTCATTTTTTTGAAAGTAGGTATAAACATTAAGTCAAAATGTATTTATGGACGATACTTCTWTATTTATTTTTCTACGTTATTCCATTTTTGTATAGTTTTAGTTTTATTTATTTAACTTTAAAAACGTGTGATTATTTTTTATGAATTATTACAAGTCTTTGAAAGTTTTGATAAACACTGAATGTAAAAATGATTTATGGTTTATTTATTTATATTTCAGTTTAACAGCCATTGGTCTTTCTGATTTCAATGTAGGAAAGGAAGTACTCGTAGATGAAATTTAATAAAAACACTTTATTATTTACAATTAATTTATCTTTAGCTTTACTTAGAATTTTTCAACTTTGAAAAGTACCTATATTTTCCTTTGGAATTTTACATCTCCCCATAAAGATGGACTTGTTATTCAGTTTCTGTTTCTCAAATACCCACCCGAGTAACACGCTTTATTTGTGGATTGTTATGGCTGGATAGAATTCTACGTCTCARTATTCAGACACCTTAGGTGACACTAGGTGGAATGACATTTTTTATTTTCCTTGGAGTGAGCTAGCTTCACTAGAAATTTATCCCTACCMGGTTAATGTAAAATTGCTGTTTTTCTGTMRCACGTAGSATAATCTTGTTTCTAAATTGTTTTAAAACGTAGGTAATTGTTAATATTATAATACATTTAAACTCTCATCGTGGGTTTTTTGCGTAAAATAAAAATAAAKAAATAAATAAAAATTATTGTACTGTTATAAATGGCAACTGTAATATTTTATTTTACACATTTATTCGTTTAAGCCATTTCAAAATAAAAAATCATGATTGTTTAAATTTAAAAAATGGCCTCTATAATTAAAAATGTTGTTTAAWTTAAAACCACTGTTAATTCGTATTCTCTCAAATATCTTTCGATAATTTGGACATCCTCAGCAGATATTATTAGCTTTAATTTAAATTAAAGACGTGCAGTTTCAAAATGCACGTGCCTGTGTGTTAAATAAATCTAATGATAGCATTACACTATAATATGTTTATAGCGGACATATTATAAGTGAAAGTATAAAATAGCTATATCGTAGGTATAATAGCGTTGTTCAGTGTGATATACAGTAAAAGTGCAATTTTATAATACATTTATAACATAAGTATTATTAGTACTAAATATATAAACCTTTTATTATTATGTCTATTTACAGTAATAATGCTGCTACCATCTAAAGAGCTTTAAAACTCGAGGTTTAGAGTTCAAAGACTGTCTACATAAAATACAATTTCGAATATGGGCTGTTTTTATATATGTAATATTATCATTATTATGCGATGTAAAGAATTATATTCAGTCTAGTAGGTTAAAGAGATTTTTCATAGACAATAATTATGACTTAATCAAGTAAATTAATTTAAATTCTATCCGACAATTATAAGTGAAATGATAAAAATAATTTTTATTTCTCATATTATAAATATAAGACTAAATAATAAATAATAAATTAAATACATAACTTAATAATAAATTCCAAATATGTAAAAAATTCGTTAAATGGAAAAATTATAATTTTAAATTTAATTTAATAAATAAATAATCCATAATATGGATTAAGTACTATTATTATTCAATAAAATAACTAAAATATTTCAATAAATTTGAATTACCTAAATTAATCGTTCTAAAAAATTGTTTTAATTAATTATTGAAATAAAATGTATATAAAAAGGCTACGCTAACTTTTATTTTAATCAGTTATAAAGTTAATGTGTTTATCACTATTGATACGTTTTTGAACAATGTATAAACAAAATAGAATATCCTAAGAACATCGGAAATAATTTCATGTGCTTGTAAATGCATCTTTAAGATTTACTTAACCTATTATATTATTTATACTTAGTGTAGATTTTTAATGAAATTTAACATGAAGAAGCCTTTTTTTTTGAACTCGTTTATAGACTATATTGACTTTTACCAATAAATACATGGTGTAAATATATTATGTAATTTGAACACTTTATAAGTAGTTTATTTATTAATGTGTCTTACAAATAAATATCGTATATGGTCGTAATGTTTGTTTAACCCGATAAATTTACTCTTCTTTTTGTACAAATTTACATTTTTTACTTACTAATATTATGTGTATGACAGTAAAATATTATATTGTTATGATTCTAATTTCATATTCTGAAGTGGAAAGTTTAAAAGAAAATATCGATGTAAAAATTATCAATACAACTTTCAATTAATTTATCTTATGAATTAATATAAGTTATATTAACATAATATATGATATGCATTTTATTATTTACGA